ATAACCAAAATGCCCACAAGCGGTGGAAAGGGTCCCCAGCATGGGAACGGAATGCCGCACAGCAGTGAACAGCAACCAGTTCCGCCATTCGGAGCACACAGCTCTGAGTCGATCTGGAGTCGCAGTGCGCGAGAGCAGCGCAGACACAGAAGAGCACAGCCCGCGGCTCCATTCCGCGCGGGTCCTGGCTGGCCAGACCGGCCAGCCGCGGGGTTGGAGCCACCATCGCAGCCTTCGCAGATGTGGCTTCCTGCTGGGGTCAGCCACGTGGGCGTGATCACTTGGCAGGCAGCCCTTCCACGTGTGCACTCTGCCTGTGTGTGTCGCACTTACCTATGAAGTTTACTGATAAAATAGAAAAACATAGAAGCCCGGTATCGACCCATGAAAACTTGCCCAAGTATCTGACTTACTCAGAGGAAGTCAAGTGGGGAGAACCGCTCCTTCCCAAAGACGGGTTGGCTCTCAGCTTGGGAAAGGAGTGTGACTGTTGAGCAAATTAATTACAGAATGAGATCAAGTCTTAGCGTTTGAAAAAGACAGAAGCACAAATAACACTGGGATGAACTGCCCTGGACAAGTCCAGCCAGAGAGGTTGTCTCTCTCTACTGGGCACGTTTATGGTCACGCACCGCACGGTGGATGTGTTGGTCAACTGCAGACACGTGTATGATGGTGGCCCCTGAGATGACGCCGTGTGTGCTGTGCAGCCTCGGCGTGTGGTCGGCTGCACCCTCCAGGTTTGTGCGGGTGCGCTCGTGATGCTCGCACAGGATGGGTCGCCTAGCGACACATTTTTCAGAATGTGTCAAGCGACGCATGCCTGTGTTTTAAAATTAAGGATTAGGAGGGCCTTTTCAACCTTTTTGTGGGCCATACTTTAAAGTTCTCCTGCATGTAGACTTGTATCTAAAATGTAATAATAATTATATATGTAAAATTAGCTCAAGAAGGATGAGATCTCCGTTTGCCAAGCCCGGGTGCTCAGGCAGGGTGCAAGGGTGTCGTCTGACTGGGCACAGCCCATGCACACCCCAGGGCGGGCGCTACAGACGAGCAGTCAGGAACCACCAGCCCTGGTCACCCCAGGGCAAGTGGGGCGCTGTCGGCAGCCCCCCGGGACGCACTCGGAGGACGTTCCCGCTGCCGAGTTCTGCTCCACAGTTCAGCGCTGCCATGTTCTCACGGTCCAGCTCTTCTTCTGTGATCGTAGTTTTCCCTTTCTCAGGAATTTCAGTAGCAGCCGGTGTCTTTGAGACCAGGTGTTGAAGCCACTGTTGTCTGCCGTGACGTCAGCCCTCACATGAGCGTAGAAATGTTTTCAATGACACGCTTTTGGGCGGGCTCCGGTCAAGACCGTTATTCTCTGTGACATACTCCATGCTGGGTGTGTCTGCAGTGGCCATGTCACTGTCACAATGCAGCATGGTAATTGGGAACAGCTAGTGTTTTACCAGGTGAGAGTGCCGGAGGGGCTTCCTGCCCTCGTGCCACGGGAGGGGTGGGCCAGACACTCTGCTGTTTCTCCTGTCCTCCGAGAACAGCACTTGGGGGACTCATGTAAACGTGCTTGCCTGGGGTTCAGGAAGGGCCAAGAAACACAGTAAAGACCCACCCACCCCATTTCCTCTGGGCCTTTCCCGAGCCCGTGGGATCCCCACCTACCCAGCCCTGCCCTGCGCAGACACACACAGTACGGCTTTGTGCTCTGTGCTGATCGGCTGCGCTGTGTGCGGCCTGGCCCGCTGGATCCTAAGCCTTGTCAGCAGGGCAGTCGGCTGGGCCAGGCCATGGGCAAACAGTTGGCCAGAGAGACTGGCAGAGGGCCGCTGCCCACATCCTGAGGGAGGCTGCGAGGCGTGAGCCCAGGTGGCAACTGCTACTGTTATCACCACTGCCGCGATTGTGCCATCACTCCCTGGGCTGCGTGGGGCAGAGGACTGCCTGTCCGGGACCCCACCCTGCCCAGGTTTGCTTTCAGATAAGTCTGCGTGCACAGCAGTCTGCATCAATCATTGCAGACAGCACCGCCTCGTCCTGTGGGCAGAGGAGGGAGCAGGACTGAGGGTGTCTACCCTGACCCGTCTGAAACCTCATGTGCTTTCTCTTCATTCATTAGGGGCCATGGGGAGCGCCCCCAGGCTGCAGAGGTGAGGGCACTGCCCCCGACAGGCCCCACCATCCGCCCTGTGGACACTCCATGACAGCCAGGATCTGTCCTGATCCCGGAGGCACCAAGGGCACGCAGGGCCCGGACTCCCTTCTCAGTGCAGACTGGGGCCAAAGGGCTGTTCTGGAAGCCACAACCGTGCTGGCTGTCCCTGTTCCTGCCTGTTACTCATCACTGGAGCCCAGTCTGTCTGCGCAGCGACAGATCCTGTCCCCGTGGGCAGAGGGCGGTGCTCTTGGCCCACCGTGCTGCCGGCCTCTCTGGGTGCCGCGAGGGCATCGGGCGGTGCAGGCCCTCACACTGTGAGGTTGCGTGCAGAGCGAGAGCCCATTGTTCACGGGCTTATCTCAGAGCTGCCCTTAGTGTGCTGTTGCAAAGCAGAACCCGGGGTTCACGTGAACTCTGGTCCTGGGTGCATCCCGTGGGGGTCTGTGGAGTCATGGTGCAGCCTCAGGAGACCCTGACCAGCGGGTGCTTGGGATGGGAGGATTCTGACATGGGTATGAAATGGTGTTTTCTAGAGGCACGTAGATTCAACCCTGTTTCCTTCCTAAGTGGCATCTCGAGTGATGATTTTAAAGCCAGGCCTTGTAAAGCCCTATGGGGCCATGTGTTAGCCGCACACAACCTTCGTCTGAATATAGCACCAGGCCCAGGGCACAGCGGCAGGGACAGAGTCATTTGGGTGACGCGACCTCACCAGCCGCAGGTGGGATGCTCCCTCCTGGCTTACACATTCGACACAGAAAAGCCAGCCGGAGGGCGCTCTAACGTAGAGCAAGTAGCTGCTGCTCGGCAGCTGCGAGAAGCAGGCGGTGGGTGCGAGCGGTTTTCACGGAGATGCCCTGCCGCACTTGAGCTGAGCTGGCGAGAGGTCACAGGTTTCTCTGAGTAAATGTGTCCTGCACCTGACCATAGCCAAGAACGTCCTTCAACACAGCCGCTCGGAGAAACACAGAAATTCACACCGTGCAAACCGCCCGGCCCAGCGCCTGGCGACAGCTCTGCAGCTGCGGCCACCCCCACCCCAGCCTCCAGCCCACCTGGCTCCCTGGCCCTGTCAGTCCCGCCAAGTGTGACTCAGCATGTCTCATCCTTTGGAAGCGTGGGGTGGGCATGTGTGGGCCCCGACCCCACAGCTGGCATGGGTCCCACTGCAGGGCCCATCCCTCGATTGTCCTTACTGGAACGTGTCCACGGCAGGGCTGGTCCCAGCTGGGGCCGTTCGCTTCCTTCATAAGCCACTGATGGGATGGGGTGAGCCACGCCGTGTGGAAATAGGGTAGGACACTGGCTTACCACTTTCCCCGAAAAAAATGTGCAGGGTATTTAGTTTTCCATACTCTTTAAAAATATAACGTTGTTACAAGTGGGAGCTACAGAGATTTTGAGTCTCTAATCGGGTGAAGCAGTGATACCCTGTGCAAGGCTAGGGTCAGAGTCAGGGCTTCTGGTAAAAGCGTGTCGCTCCCTCCGGAGGACAGGGAGGACTGAGAACTCCCAGTCAGGCAGAAAACATGTGCTGCGTGTCACCGCCATTTTTAGACATTAGGCCTCACCCTGGGCCTGAGAGCAGAGGGAGAGGGGCCCCTCCCAGAGGCCTCCAGAGTCACACCCAACAGGTGCTGATGACGGGATCATCCTGGTAAAGCAGCGGCAGTCTTCCGTTCCCGCTAGGCCCGTGGGAATCCCCGGCAGGGAATGAGGTGCGGTTCTCAACGCACGCTTTGTGGCATCCTGTAGTTAACCTAAAAACACGTTAGACTTTTACAAGGAAAACTCCTGGACTCTGCTGAAGGCCAGTGTGTGGAGCAGCAGATACTCCGCACTGGGACCGCCGCCCAGTCAAGGGGCCCGTCTGGGGGTGGGCCCTTCAGTCTTAACCAAGATGGCGGGTCAGGGTTGGCCCAGGGGGAAGTGTGCTCCAGACACGGGAGGGGGTGGGTGACTGCGGCTGGGAGGCTGGAGGGGTCAGGAGGAGCCAGATCAGGCCCACTTACTGTGGCCCGCCCTGCTGTGTGCGTCAGGAGAGCCGGGGATGGCACTGCAGGTGCAACGAGGCCAGTGCAGGGCAGTGTGGTCACCCAGGGCAGGGACAACAGCCCCCCAGGACGATGCAGGATGTTGGCACATCCCCACCTGTTTCTGCTTATGTGGTCTCGCTGGCTGGTCAAGGCTGGGTGGCTAGAGCTCTGTTTCATGGACCCACAGAGGAAACGGGCAGGGTCTGGAGGGCAGTGAGCTAGGGACAGTCACCCACAGGACCCCACAGTCATGGCCTGAGCACCTGAACACACTTCCCAAAATAGGAACTGCATTTGGAGCAGGTTGAGGGGGAGACACAGCCTGAGCTATCTGTAGACCACGCTGCACACTGAATTCACCTGCATCTACAGGCATTTCAAGCAATGAACGGTCTGAGTCACGGGGCTGTGGGGAGGGCAGAGGGGACAGCTGAACTGGGCGCGTGAGCATTGCAGGGGCCAGGACACCTGACGCCGCTTCTTCCCATGCAGGTTTCCACTGTACTTTAAACCACGTTGAGAAAACAAAGCTTAATAGATGATCGCATTTTTTTAAAGGAATGATTTATCTGAAGATACTGTGCTCAAACTAAAACTTAGTTTCACATAAAAACTAAGTTTGATGTAAAGACTTAAATTGTGCATTTGGTTTTATGCTCTAGAAACTTCTGTGCCAGTGTTCTTTCCCTGGGTAGCACTGGCCATGCTGAGATGCATCAGGAGAGAGTCCACACAGCCTTCCCAGGGGAGCGCGGAGGACGGTTGGGCGTGGTGCTGGCTGACCCTTTGCCCTTGTGTCTCTGCAGCTACCCATACAGCGAGGACTCCAGCCAGGGTGAGCAGTACATGAACACCCGGTGCCCCGCCTGGTGTGACCGCATCCTCATGTCCCCATCTGCCAAGGAGCTGGTGCTGAAGGTAAGTGTGAGCCACTGGGACCAGCCACTCGGAGGGACGCAGGGTCCCAGGTCAGCATCCAGCCTGGTCCCTGGGGGGCCGGGCTGCCCAGTTGAGGGGTGCTCCCAGGTGAAGCCCTGACCTCACTTGTGGAGAGCTGAACCTACATGCTCGGTCACGTCCCAGCCGTGCTCAGGCCCGAGGGGCTCCCATGAGTCCCCAGTGTCTTTTTGAGTTTGAAACACTGGTCATCAGGTAGTGTTTAAAAATCATAGTTTATTGGATCCTGGGAATTAAATGTGCTCTTGTCCATAAAAGAGCTCGTAGGCTCTCACGCATGGGAGAAATATCTGTAGTTATTTTCTTAAGTTGTAAACCAGAGCCAGGTTCATACTTGGGCTTGTTGAGTTAAAAATGAATGGGCAACACTTTCAGGAGATAATGTGGTACACTGGGTGTTAGGAAATGTTCAGATTTCGCATGATTTTCCAGGGTTTTTCATTTTTTCACACTTTAATATAAAAGTGTTTTCAAAAGAATCAGTATCTAAATTGATTTTTGTCAACCGTCAGTGAAAAAATATAATAATGGAACGTGAGTTTATGCCGATGCTGTGTCACAGCCACGGGTCTCTGACCTTGCTGTGGGTTGGTGGCTGAGGAGGGAGTAGACCCTGGCAGCGCACAGTGGGCCTGGGGCCTTGTGGGCTGTGCCCCGAGTCCCCACTGCCCAGGCCCAGATCAGTGGCTGGAGCCCCTCCACCCAGCCCCCAACCTCACTATGTTGCTGTTAGGGTCACCCTGGCTGCCCCCATCTGTGTTCCTGTGCCTGGGCCCCTCAAACTGCCACATCATCCCTGGGGACAGTCAGAGGGATCCCAGTCAGGAAGGGTTGAGCCCCAAAGGTGCTCCCCGGGTGTCACACCACCCCAAAGCCCCCATGCCCTGATGGCCTGTGAGGTGCCTCCCCTGCTCAGTGGGTGGCCCTGCCGCCTCTTCAGCGCAGGCTGTCTCCCTGGGCCCGGGCTCCTTGCTGCCTTTCCCCATGCCCTTGAGCACCCTGGGCACAGTGCTGCTTGGTGCCTGGCCATGGGGGAGGAACCTGCCAGGCGGGGGGCCTGGGCTGGAAAAGGGGGCCCCTTGGCCAGAAGCCCCTGGGGTCTGCAGCAAGCTTGGCTCTGGCGCTGTCGGGGCAGGGGCAGTCTTGGCAGCCCTACCTTCTGGCCTCATTGGCAGACACCCTGTCACCCCTGGCCCATCACTAAGGAAGGCCACTTGGGGCCACTTCCTTACTGAGGCCTCCTTGAACAGAGCCATGTCTGGACACTGGAACCGGAGCCAGCCCTGGGCACCTGTCTGGCCTGGGCTTGCTCATGGGCTCCAAGGAGATAACAGTGTAGACGTGAGGCCTGCGGTGGAGTCACCAGAGCTCATAGCTGCTGGCTCTGAGCACAGGGCATGCAGGGGGACATGGAGTAGGGCTGCTGGCCAGAGCAGGAGCTTCCAGGGATAGAGAAGAGACAGACAGCAGCTACTGGGATATGTCTCGTCACAAAAACTGCATTTTGCAGTGAACTCCTGGAGACAGCATACGGCTTAGAATGGCCGGTAGAAGCTGGCAGGATCCAAGCTCCCCCCTGCACCGCGCTGCCGTGGGGGGGGCATTAGCAGGGACGGCGGCATTTTCACCTGCTCTGTGCTCGCTCGTGTCTACTCGGCTACTTTGCATCCACAGTGGGAGACAGCTCTGCTTTCAGTGAGGCTGACGACCAAGCACACCTGGTGCCGGCCACTGAATGGGGGCTGGAGTCTGGACAGGCCTCCCCCCCGGGCTGCCCAGCAGGGTGGGCACCATGGGCCCAGCAGACGGGCCCTGAGCAGCTTCCGCAGCCTCATCCATCACGCCACACACCGCCACCTCGCCATCACGCTCCGTTCTGCTTCCCCAGCCCTAAAACATGAGAGGTGGCTGGGGCGCAGCGGAGCACTGCTCGGAGCCTTGGTGACGAATGCTCAGCGAGCCGTGCCTGCGTCCTGCTGCGCCCGCTGTCATCTGTTTATCTGTCCAAAGATTATGCAGTTGGAAATCCACAATTTTATGCTGCCTTTGTAAATTGCCACGCTGCATTTGATGAATGTTTCACCACTTTGCGGAGGCAGCGACATGCTTGTGGAAGATTGGAAAGTGCTCACGCGTACAGTGCCGAGGGTTGTGTTTTTATACTTTCTGGCAGGCGAACATGCTGGAAAGTAAATCTGACCTTAAGCTTCCTACTGCATTAAAGATAATTCAGTTGTAACTTTATAGTCTCGGATACCTCAGCTGCAGATGTAAAATTCCAGCCCAGTCAGGGCTGACTGATGACCAGCAACAAACCCTTTGTGGTTGCACCCAAAATAAAGGCATCTCCGGAGCCCGCGCGGCTGCGGGCAGTGAGGAAGTGTGTGCACGCGGGGCTCATTAATATGCGCAGATTGCTTTGTGTAGTGGCGTGGAATTCAGTGTCCTCTGTTCTCCTTTGAACAGAGAGTTCTGGGTTACAAGAACAAGCTGTCAGAAACACATGTACACAGGGAAGAAGGGAAATAGATGAGCTACTTCGATCGGGGGCACACTTGAAGAAAAACTTCTAAGTTGTACTAACTGCGGTGACGAGGGAGGCCCCTATGCCCTCCCCTCCCAGGTCCAGAGCACGTGCAGTCAGGGACCTGTCACCCCAGCCCCCGGGGAGCCTTGGTCTTTCTAGAAGTACGATCCCTCTCAGCCAGAAGATCCGGCCAAGGTGCTGAGCTGCTGCCAGAACCACAGAACCTTCCCCATGGGCTGGCCACACTCTCTGAGGGGTGGCAGTGCATGGACAGCTCTGCACCAGCCAGAGCCCCGCGGGGAGTGGGTGGGGCGGGCAACGGTGGTTCATTCACAGGGATGTCCCCACCCACCTCTCTGCTCCCCAGGAAACCCCCAAGTCCTGCCTGTCACCTCCCAAGCGGGACCCTGGGGTGTCCCCAGCCTCTCTACACCAGCCCCTGTGTTTGCTTTTTCCAGTCGGAGAGCGAGGAGAAGGTTGTCACCTACGACCACATCGGGCCCAACGTCTGCATGGGAGACCACAAGGTGACGTACTCTGCGTCGTGTGCAGGGCCAGGCCAGTGCTGGACGGCCATTGGGTGGGCAGTGAGTGGCCCTTTCTGCATCCTCAGCCCTGTCTCCCTAGTCCAGCTTCACAGAGTTAAGCCAAGTTGGTCTGTTTTTATTTAATTTTAGTAAAATACCAAAAGAAAGCTAGGCAGGAAGAAGGCAGAAATGACCAGTCACAATAGAATAAGATACATAATTTTACTGTTTGTAAAAAAAAAAAAATGGTTCCTCTGTACCTGATTTTTTCTGGAGGCCGTTTCTGAGTATGCATTTGAAGTATTTTAGTGGCCTTCTCCTGCCAGGCTTGTGCAGGCTTGTGGAAGGTGAACACTACGGACTCCGCGTGTCAGGGGAAGGCACGGTGACTTACACTGACTGCATCTCAAGTGCGGCAGCCAGGTGTCCTCAGGGAAGGGTTAGGCCAGCTGACAGATCACGTCTCATTTTCAGCCAAATTAAGTGAATTCAGTTCCTCACATTCGAGGCCTCTGACCGTGACCACTGCCGCGATGCGGGGGGTGGGCCTGAGGGCAGGTCCCCCTCCCTTCCCACTTTACTTGGGGCTTGTTTAGCCGTTCTTCACATCAGTTTTTGCATCAGATGTATCTGGAAACAGCGCCTTCCTCACCGAGCAGGAGGGCGCAGTCCCGAGCCTCCACGGCTGCCCGTCCCAGCCGCGCTAGCGAGCGCGCATGGGACCGTGCAAGCATTGCCTGCGTTGGCCACCGACTCCCTGGACCAGGCTCGAGGCTGCCCTTGTGACATGTGGGGGTCTGGGGGTCCCAGCGGAGGCGGCGGGCGCAGGGCTGTGCCCCCTGCATGCGTGGGGCTGACCCCTCCTCTTCTCCCGCTGCAGCCCGTGTTCCTGGCCTTCCGAATCGCGCCTGGGGCAGGTAAACCTCATGCACATGTGCACAAGTGTTGTGTCGTGCAGTGACGTGGTGGTAAATATGACTCCTTCCCTTCAGCTCACCTTTTCTGCAGCTTTTCCTGGTGTGTTTGTTCCTTTAACAAATTGCTAATTCCATGGCAGGGAAGCGGTGCCAGCGAAGCGAGAGGATCCTTCGCCAGACCGCCCTGTAGCAGTTATTGAAACACGTACCCTTGACAGCTACGTCGGAAACCCACCCGCTAGACGGCCGGCCCCACACTTCGCTTCAGCCTCCGGACCACTCCGGAAAAGCCTCACATACCTCACTGTCTTGTCTGTTCATGTGACATTAAGTAGAACTATTGGGTTTTTTCGAATAAGTCACAGTCCTGTTGCCAAAACTCTAATAGACAGCAAAGAGATTCTGTATTTTAGATTCCACGGTTTTTGGTTTTTGATGATTGTCAGTGCAGGAGCTTCTCCAGCATAGAAACCCCACAGGTGGCCACCGTTCTCCTGCCAGGCAGAAGGGGCTGGGGGCCAAGGCGGGGGCTCCCTTGGCCGTGCCAACAGGCAGCATGGCCACCCCAGCATGGCGAGGACGCCGTTCACCCTGATGCTCCCCACCCCCCCATTTACTCTACTGCCATGTTACATGGTTTTTGAATCACACGCAGCTGCTTTCCATTTTTATATATATAAATATATATAAATATATACTTAAAAAAATAATTTATAAATCTTACCAAAACTTATGCTAAATATACTTTCCAGTATGAATGCACGGGAGTGTCATAGCAGATAGAATTGGAGTCTGAGGGTTTAGTTATGTGTAAGTCAGCACACAAATTCATAAAACTAGTATGACCCAGCAGTGCCATCACGGGTGAAGACCGGCCTGCAGCACGTCAGTACTAGCGGTTGGCGACTCCTGTGCCTTTTCTCTGTGTGATATTAAGAATTGAATGTGAAGTTTATAGCTAGTCTGGGTGTACTTTTTAAGAATTTTGTAAACCGTTTTGTCTGTCTTTTGTTACCGTTTTATGGTGCCAAGTATTCTACATTAAAACAATAGTATCATGGGAGAAATAGAAATAGCCTAGTCTTCTTCCAGTAGAAATTGCTTTTAACACGGGCTGTATATAAAAAACATTAAAGAGAAGCAAAACTGTACATTTCCTGGTTGCTCTGCTACAACCTACATAATAACCTTGCTGCAAATATTTTTCTCCTAGCACTAAGTACAGCATTAAAAGGTGATTAGAGAGTCTGTTGATGAAACACAAATGTATGTTTTATTGATTTACTTTAGAACACTACAGAGTTCCTGGACTGGGGAAAGGCATCAGATCGATCTTTCTTTTTTGTATAAATCACTACCATTGCAAGTGATTTGGTGTCCACTTGCCGAATCTGTGTTCTGACGGCATGGTCGGGTCTGTGTAGACGCTGTGGTCTCTGCTGTCAGCGCGCCACATCGCAGTCCCCAGGGCGAGTTTGCTGAGCGGGTTTCAGCTGTGGGTCGTCCCGAAGGCCTTTAGAAGTGACTGCTCTGGTTCCTAAGCAATAAAATCGATCCTGGTGAAAACAGTTTGGAGTCCGCTTTGTTTTCCCTCCTTTCCATTTTCCTGTCACCTTTGACATGCTAAGCAGTGGGAATGTCTTCCTTTGTACCCTGTTACTTGAGATCAAGCTCATTCGAAATCCTGGGATTTCACCGTATCCCATATTGTTACAAAACACCAAGCCGCTAGCTTGGTGCAGAAAAATAATCTTTTGTACTTTTTACTGCAGTAAAAAAAGATTTATCCCTCAACGTTTTTAATGGGATTATATAAACGATTTGCTTTCTTTCTTCCAAAGTTTGAAACTGGAAATTCCTTAGCTTTAAAACTGGAAATTTAACTTTAAGCTTTAAAGCTGGAAAGTCCTCTTCCTTGAGAATGGTTCCTCACAGAAACAGCACTGCTCCCCTTTAGAGACAGTTTTCAAATCAGTGGTGCAGTCACATGGCAAAAAACAAACAAACAAAAAAACCCAAACAAATCTTGAGCCTTTTTCATTATTCTTTAACATTTTCAAAAATGACTCCAAAAGAAATCTAACATTGGTCATATAATCGTTTGCTTTTAATTTTTGAAACTGAGCTGTAACTCAGGAGCGCGGACCCAGGAAGTCTGCGAGCGGAGCGGGTGGGTTTCTGTTCGTGGGATCGTGGTGAGAGGGGCCGCTGGGGACGGTCCTTGCCGCTTTGGCCGCTTTGGCCGTCCCCGGCTCAGGCGAGGAGCTCTGCTCTGACGTCGAGCGAGCTGGGCCTGGAGTGCCCCCCAGTGACGGCCCTGCCCCCAGCGCACGGCGCGCCCCG